TGAAGATTACCCCATGAAACGCAGACTGCAGAAGCTTTGTATGTATGTATTCCAGGCAATTCACGCATTGGACAGAAACGTTTCGTTTATGAGGCTCCTTCACAGTAATTTTACGATAGAGAAGCTACTGAAGCTTGTAAATGGGGTAAACTGAGTACTTCTTGGGGTTTAGGCACTCGCTAGCTCGATCTTAAAAAGACGCTGTTCGATTTTTGCCCGGTTAACTATGCTCATAGCAAGCTTGATTTTGAAACCCTGTTCCCTGTTCTGTTACAGAGTTGAGACTGAGCAGACAGACTTTTCAAATTTATTTCAGCAAATTTATTTCCCACTATAACGCCCACAAATCACGAAAAACTAAAATCGCTGAAATATCAGAAACTTTTAAAGCTAGAGAGTTGAAATTAAGTATGTATAATCTTGACATGCCAGCGCATCTTATGGTGGTACCATTATCTGGCTTTCGCAAAAGCTGATAGAAAATTCCGATGTAACATGTAGGTTTTTGTGATGCCCCAAATTCAAATTTTTTTTCCCATCTAGCCAACCCAAAAAAAACCAAAAATGCAATATTCTCGGGAGTTATAAAGCTAGAAAGTTAGGCGTAAGAATACGTATTTTAGAGATGCCACTGCAACTTCACACGAGTTTTTATTTGGACACGCCCATTTTAACGCCCACAAAACGGGGAAAACTGTGGTGTCAATAATATTACAGTGGATGTCTTCGTTTGACCTTGTATAACATATTTTTGTCAATATCTATCTATTTACCAAAGACTTTCAAATAGGAACATTATTTTGCTATTTATGAAGAAATGTAGGTTATAAGGCCTCACATGGACAGTGACGTTACTATAAGTTACTTAACATGCTTTCCTTTACAATAGGTGGCGCTTTGTGATATTCCACTAGCAAAATAAATATTTTAAAATTATGTAAAACAGTAACGGCTAGTTGGTGTAGGCATCAATTAGTTTTTTGGCGAAGTCCCACCTTAACATCAACCACCACGCTAACGTAGGTGTGAATGACGGTTTCGTTTGTCCCTTAAATTTAAGCTCGATTTGTTTGATATTTTGCATAGTTTGTGAACGTGGCATGATTGAGATCACAGAATCCGAATCTGTGTTGCGAGATGTGAACGGTGGTAATTTCTGGTAGACTTCTGAGACCGTGCGATAGACATAGACCAATCTTTGGCTTGCCGTTGAAGCTCACCTTTCAAAATCGGACGGTGTGGCTTTGATTCGGCTGACTGCAAATTTGTCGAGCAGCTGGGTCTTCAGTCTGTCGTATTTATTTACCGCTGGCGGGTAAATAATTAAATCCATTTCAGCCATAGCAATGTCCACTTGAGCGAATCACGATTTCGGGTTGTTAGTGACAGGGCAGGCGAATTGTTGCTCGTACCGCCGGTGCCGATGGTACCGAGGAAGGAAGCTGCAATGCATCGAGTTGGTCTTGCAGAGCTCTGATCCTGTCCAGCAGTTGCCTATGATCTTAGGGCATTTTGCAGTTTGTCGCGTCATCAAAAATGAGCTTTCTCGGAACACCCGATCGCAGATTGTGGTGCACCTTGTTAAACATACACTCAGGTGTTGTTGGTTGCCTCAATCGCCTTTGGCTACGTGTGTGTTTGCCTAAAAGTCTCAGCATTTTTGGAAATTAAAATTGTGTTGTGTTTTGCGTATTTAAAGAGTTATTTACAGGTTTTTAAATTTTACAATCACACAATTCATAGCCTAAAGTTGCCGGCGGTAAATACAAGGTTATCAGCCAAGGGTTTTGGTTATTAAGCCTAGATTTTGGATTTCATTGAACTCGGATTTGTACAATATAGTTTTTATAATTTTCGAATAAATCTTTACCTATATACTTGTTTTTATACCGCTACTCGTAGATTCGATAGATATATACTACTATAAAGTATATGTATTCTTGATCAGTACCAATAGCGAAGTCGATTAGGCCATAACTTTTTGCCCGACTGTCCGTATGAGCGCTGAGATCTCAGAAACTATAAGAGCTACAAAGTTGAGATTAAGCAGACAGATTCTTCGGGTCTCTACGCAGCGCAAGTTTATTTCGGAGAGATCGAAGAAAGTATTAGAGCTAAAAAGTTAAGATTAAATATGTGTTCTCTTTAACTGCGTGAGTTTTCATCTGGCTACGCCCACTGTAACCGCGAAAAACTGAGGCATGTATAATATTATAATGTATGTCTTCGTGTGACCTTGTGTAACATATTTTAGTCTTATCTTGGTTTTTAATTGGTTAACCAAGTAACGAGTATTTTCATTATAATATTTTTTCTTGGGCATTTGTACCTGTTACTCGTGGAGTAAAAGGGTATACTAGATTCGTTGAAAAGTATGTAACAGATAGAAGGAAGCGTTTCCGACCATATAAAGTATATATATTCTTGATCAGGATCAAAGCGAAGTCGATTGAGCCATGTCCGTCTGTCCGTTCGTCCGTCCGTCCGTCCGTCCGTCCGTCCGTCCGTCCGTGTGAACGCTGAGATTTCAGGAACTATAAACGATACAAAGTTGAGATTCAGTGTAAAGGTTCTTGAGGTCCCTACGAAACGCAAGTTTATTTCAGCATCCTGCCATACCCACTCTAACAAACCAAAATCAAGAAAAACTTAAATATCTGAAATCTCAGGAAGTATTAGAGCTAGAAAGTTGAAATTCAGCATGTACAATATTGAGATGCTAGCGAATCTTATGGTGGTAGCATTATCCCTCACCCACTCTTACGCACACCAAGCTCAAATAACGGTTTTCGCATTTTCTGGAAAAGCTGATATCTGGGTAACTATAAGTGCTAGAAAGTTCGGATTAAGCATGAAGGTTTTTATGATGCCCCTTATACTATTTTTTTTTCGATCAAGCCACGCCCACTCTAACGTTCACAAAACCCGAAAAACCAGCAAATCGAAAATCTCGGGAACTGAAAGAGTTAGAAAGTTGTGTTTAAAAATACGTATTTAAAAGATGCCACTGCAACTTGCCCCTAGTATTAATCCGGCCACGACCATTCTAACGCCCACAAAACCCGAAAAAATGTGGCGTCTATAATATTATAGTGTATGTCTTGGTTTGACCTTGTATTACATTTTTTTTGTCAATATCTATCGATTTACCAAAGATTTTCCAAATCTGAACATTATTTCGCTATTTATTAAAAAATTTATGTTTAAGCCTCCTTGTTTGGGTATTATAATAGATGATTTCAGCAATTTACGACCAGGCATATATATTAAACATATATAAAGTATTATATATTAATCATACTTTATATATATCGCTGTTGTCTATACAAGCTTAGCTTAAGATATTTGAAGAGCTAAATCGAATTCCTAATATTGTGATATTACCCTATGATGTTAACAGTGTAAAAGCATTGAAACTGCAACTACGCCTGGTAGTCTCAAGTGGTCACAACTGAAATCAATGGCGCTCGATCTTTTTTTGTGTCCCAGAAGCTTTTTGATGATGGAAGCTGGCAGCCCACACTGCCGTCAAGGTCGCGCTAAAGAAAAACCAGAAAATTGTTTATCTTGCGCAGATCTGCTTTCTGACCCCTAACCGTCTCAGGAATTTACTTATCGAATGCGTAACACCCTAGCCTCATTTAGCCCGGCAATGCGTCAATCGTACGAGACCACTAAGGTGCATTGCGTGCGTCCGCGATTCCTAACGCTCTATGTTAGCCACAACCTGTGTCAGTTCTGTCCACTGAAACACCACTCCTCACTTGTGTTCTTGAAAAACAGTGCGAACCAGTTTGAAGTTAAGATAGAAGTGGAGGATGCAAATAATCGGCGGGTTATGAATGTCAGCGCTCTACGGCTGGATTGGGAGTTTACCGTTGATAACGAGCGCTACTACAAGGACATTATTCCACACCTTTAAATTTCTGAGTTGGAGTATATTCACGATGTAAGCTTACCGAAACGCGATCTTGTCATCCTGACATTAAGCGACGTAGCGACCAATTTCCGCACAAAGGGAACTGTGTCTCAGTACATAGACGAGGTACTTGCACAACAGAAAATTTATTCGAAACGTCCTCCATTCAGAATTAAAAATGTAGGTTGTCCTATCCCCATGAATTTACCTTGAAACTTATATATTTTTATTTTCTTTAGCAGCCTAATACAAGTTTAGTAAGCACGTAGTAAGCATTGAAAACGAACTTCAATTTAACGCGGTTAATAGAACAATTTTGTCGAAAGACATTGTCAATATTTTTCTTGCTTGTGGCCACAGAGAGCACATTCCTATCGCTCAGGGTAGTGGATACATGCAGATAGTGCTTTCTGAAAGAGGCATCGTTCATTTTGAATACAATGAGAGGACCCGCATACTAGTACTGAAGCAGTTGCGTTTTGGCCATGTGCGTCTTGATCTGATCGACCGTTGTTTGATGAACAAACCCAACCTTCTGTCCAACTCTGTTGTAGGAATTGGTGCCATTGAAGTATCTAGCAGGGACCATATTGAGCGTGGAACCCAAATCGAGAGCGATCGTCAGGCTCTTCGACACCAACGAAAACCTCTTCCTCTTAGACAGAAGCAGCTTAAGTGTAAGTAAGTTAATTTTCCTTTATCGGCTGATAATAAGTAATATTTTTGGCATTCCAAGCCATATGTTCGGGCGATGTTACAGCCCACAGACTGGGGACCAGCACGATCGTAGTAAAGTACTATTTAAACAATCCGGTAATCGGAAAGGCTGAAATAGTGACCCACGACGCGTTGGACTTACACGTAGTTTCCCTTAAGGGGATGGAGATTCGCACTCTCTGATCCGCATTCGTTGCGGGGCCATAATGCCCGCCACCTTGTGGGGTCTTTTTGTTTTATCTCCCATGGTATTAGGTACCTTGCAAAACATAAAAATCTTCTGGAAAGTCAGCCAACCTCAGGCTGTTGAAATCTTAGACAAATTCACGGCTACAGGTGAGTCTAACTTACTATCTTTGCATTTGCGTGCGCGGATACTGCCTAGAGTTAAGAAAACTTAGCTCTATGCCCGCAATGTGCACGGATATCAAAATGTTCTTCGATGAGCCTGCTCGATTGAGTTATCAAGCAGGTACAGATACAGAGCATACAACCAGTGCCCATATTCACATGCATACTTTCTTAAGCGATTATATGTAGTAGTTTATATATTATATTATATATATTATATTTATATATATTATATTATTTATATTATTTATTTATATATTATATTATATATAATATATTAATATATTTTATTATATTTATTATATTGTATTATTTATTATTATTTAAATTTGATTGGCTAGGGTAAAAATACCAAAATAAAAATTTCAGAGGTTGAGTACCAAAGTGAGGATTTAATATTGAGCCGAGTACGAGCCCTAAATCCCGGAAAGGTTATAAAGTTGCAACCAACCAGTTTAAAGCTAATTGGTAAGTGTGATCTCTCCGAGAACTTTTTATAACAAAAATATATTTTTTAATTGCAGTTAAAAGCACTTCATCTGGTTGCGACAAATATAAGGGCATCCATTTTAGCAGCTCCGCGCCGCAAGGTTCAGCTTAAATCCATTAAAAACGGTGCGCTCTTTAAGCTGGACGGTCAAAGCAATGGTATAGTAAACGTGACTCCAGATGGGCGTTTGCAAACAAAACACTTTCTAGGCCGTAATCTTATAATTGTAAGGTTCTAAGGCCTAAATCAGATAATTATTGATTAAAATTTCGTATATATCTCTAAGGCGAAAACAGCACACCAAACACAACCTATCGTTATTGAAGTGCAGAATGTGACACTGTGTCAAACCTAAAATTTAGAAAGTCGGAAAACAAAATACCGAGTGGAATGCACTTTGTGCTCAAAGTATCCCTTCACGATGAAACGAATTCTCACACAAAATTGAGCACGTTAATGAGCTGCGTTATGAATTCGCCACCAAAGATTTAGTTTATGCTCAAATAAATAATAATAGAACAATATTGAGGTGAGTTTCACTTTATTATTTATACTCTTTAGCATAAAAGGTAAAAGGAATGGAAAAAAATAATATTTCAAAACTTATTATGGGCATTATTTCTAGAAATTAAGGTAAGGCAGTGTTCTCACCGCCAGGTGAGAATTAGCCCTGGGACCATTGTTTTACCACCCGATAATTGTCACTAGCCGGGAAAAACTAAGTTCCAAGCTCACTGAAACTAAAATATAATAATACAAAATAGGTGGTGCCTTATGAATTTCCACTAGCAAAATGAATATTTCAAAATTGTGTAAAACAGTAACGGGTATTTCATAGTCACTAGACTCGACTATAGAGTATCTTCTTGTTTAAAACTCGAGGGGCGCATGAATCAGTATCTGCAATAGGATAATCTTCTCTCAACTCTGAAAAGGAAGTTGATATCATCTTTCAGTCTCAAGATTCTGGTCTCTTTTTGCGGTTGTCACAAAAGCAATAACGGATTATAAGTCGCAGTATATTTCTAAAAATATTTTTTTGGGAACTAATTGAAACTGATTGGGTCATAGAAAAAGGAATGAAAAGAATTAAATTATTTAAAAGATGCCGACTTATGCTTCGTTGGTCTCGCGCAACAAAGATTGGAATTTCGTGATCCAGTGGAGACTGTGTGACTTAAGAGCCTTCGCCATGTTAGACGACTTTGGCAGTGGACACCTAGATAAATTATTTCGCTAATATTAAGGATTTGATTTTTTTTCAAAATTATTGTAGGGCATTACTGTCTGTTCAAAGTGAACATGTCGTCATCAAGCCATCTATCTGCTACTCGCAGTGCAGCCTATCCCGGACCACTGACATAATTCCAGCAATAGCAATATCGACATTGTCCAACGTGATCGCAGAACAAAAGGTAAAGTACTTCACCAAGCTATCGGTGCACCCTAACCACCTGGCGAGAGGTCTAACAAGGTTGAGCAACCAATCACGCCTTCGTCGCAATGACCTACCCACCCAGCAAACGACCTGAGGGTCGCGCAACCAGAATGCAGTCTAAGTATACTGTTAGTTAAATTTTAATGTTAAGATTCGTAAACTTATTGTTAGTTTTAAAATTAAGAGTAGATTCAATAAATAAAAAAAAGCAAAGCTATAAAAAAAAAAAAAAAAAAATTTTAAATATTTTTCGTTTGTCTAAATTATAATTGTCTTTTTACATTGAAGTATAGCCGTGCACTTTTTTCTTCCACCATGGTAGGCATTGCCCGAGTATTTAGCCATCGGAACGATAAGATTGTGATAACTAATGGCGACGAGACCACGCTTGGCGGATTTGTTAGGTACGATTTGGAAGTTCTGGAGCCGAATGTGGTTAATATATAATTTTAATCATTTGTTTAACTTTAAAAAGAGGTTTTGCAGATTGTGTTTGTCAAGTCATTGGACATATTCAGTGGATCAGAGTATCGAGGACAGTTCGTTCTCCGTAACCACTTGCAGTCCAAAAAATATTATAACTTTGTAAAGAGTAAAAAGGTATATTAGATTCATTGAAAAGTATGTACCAGGCAGAGGGAAGCGTTTCCAACCGTATAAAGTATATATATTCTTGATCAGGATTAATAGCCGAGACGATTAAGCCCTGTCCGATTGTTCGTTCGTCTGTCCATAAGAACGCTGAGATCTCAGGAACTATAAGAGATACAAAGCAGACATATGTTTGAGGTCCCTACGCACCAAGTTTATTTCAGAATCCACGCCCACTATAACGCCGGAAAACTGGCGTCCATAATATTATATTGTTTGTCATTGTTTGACTCTGTGTAACATTTTTAGTCAATATCTATTGATTTACGAAAGATTTTTCAAATCTGAACAATATTTAGTTATATAATATATGAAGAAATGTTGGATATAAGTCCTCACATGCACAGTTCCGTCATCATCAGTTAGTAAACATGCTTATTTGACACCTTTTGCGGTGAATATTTTACAATTGTGTTAACCAGTAACGGGTATGTTATAGTCGCGGCACTCGACTATAACGTTTCTTCTTGTTTTTTGTTGTTACCTATCGATTTACGAAAAACCGTTTTTCACAATTTTTTAACACTTTTCATAAGACCGGGTTATGAATGTTCTATCTACGACTGGATTGGGAGTTTACCGTTGATAACGTGCGCAACTACAAGGAAATTATTTCACACCTTAAAATTTCTGAGTTGGAGTTTATTCACGGTGTTAGCTTACCGAAACGCGATCTTTTCATCCTGACATTAAGCGACGTAGCGACCAATTTCTCCATAAAGGGAACTGTGTCCCAGTACATAGACAAGATATTTGCACAACAGAAAATTTATTCGAAACGTCCTCCATTCGGAATTAAAAATGTGGGTTATCCTGTCTCCATGAATTTACCTTGAAACATATATATTTTTATTTTCTTTAGCAGCCTAATGCAAATTTAGTAAGCACGTAGTAACCATTGAAAACGAACTTTAATTTAACGCGGTTAATAGAATAATTTTGTCGAAAGACCTTGTCAACATTTTTCTTGATTGTGGCCACAGAGAGCACATTCCTATCGCTCAGGGTAGTGGATACATGCAGCTAGTGCTTTCTGAAAGAGGCATCGTTCATGTTGAATACAATGAGAAGTCCCGCACTAGTACTGAAACAGTTGCGTTTTGGCCATGTGCGTCTTGATCTGACCGACCGTTGTTTGATGAACGAACCCAACCTTCTGTCCATCTCTGTTGTAGGAATTGGTGCCATTGAAGTATCTAGCAGGGACCGTGTTGAGCGTGGAACCCAAATCGAGGCGATCGTCAGGCTCTTCGACACCAACGAAAACCTCTTCCCCTTTGACAGAAGCAGCTTAAGTGTAAGTAAGTTAATTTTCCTTTATCGGCTGATAATAAGTAATATTTTTGGCATTCCAAGCCATATGGTCGGGCGATGTTACGGCCCACAGACTGGGGACCAGCACGATCGTAGTAAAGTACTATTTAAACAATCCGGTAATCGGAAAGGCTGAAATAGTGACCCACAACGCGGTGGACTTACACGTAGTTTTCCTTAAGGGGATGGAGATTCGCACTCTCTGATCCGCATTCGTTGCGGGGCCATAATGCCCGCCACCTTGTGGGGTATTTTTGTTTTATCTCCCATGGTATTAGGTACCTTGCAAAACATAAAAATCTTCTGGAAAGCCAGCCAACCTCAGACTGTTGAAATCTTAGACATATTCACTAAAGGTGAGTCTAGCTTACTATCTTTGCATTTGCGTGCGCGGATACTGCCTAGAGTTAAGAAAACTTAGCTCTATGCCCGCAAAGTGCACGGATAACAAAATGTCCTTCGATGAGCCTGCTCGATTGAGTTATCAAGCAGATACAGATACAAAGCATACAACCAGGGCCCATATGCAAGTTAACACACCCAGTTCCCGAATTGGGAAACTGCCGAGTTGCGGGCCACATCCGGTGGCCAACACACGGAATAGGGAAACTACCGACTCTGCACTCTGGGGGCAATCACACAGAGCCCTGCCAGAAGTGGCCAAATCACCGACTCCGCACTCTGGGGACAATCCCACCTTGGTGACAGCGCTGCGACCACGCGAAGGCTTCTAGCTGCAGCCGGATCAGACCATTAAGTTAGTTTAAATTCAACTAAATAAAACATATTATACTATCCTTTACCTTAACAGGCTTAGGGGAAACAAATGTGTAACAATTAAATATTGTTAAACCAATTATACTATCCTTTACCTTAACAGGTTTAGGGGAAATAAATAAGTGAAACTTTACAAATCAATTTATAACTTAAAGGATCCTTGCCACAGCGGGCCCGAGTGAAAGTGAGAAATAATAATATAGAGGAAACTTCACAATTAGCGAAATAATGTTCCGATTTGAAAAATCTTTGATAAATCAATAGAGATTGACAAAAATATGTTATACAATGTCAAACGCAGATATAGATTATAAGAATGTGGATGCCCCAGTTTTTCGCGGCTTGTGGGCGTTATAGTGGGTGTGGCTAGATGGGGAAAAAAGCATTGCGGCATCATAAAAAACAGCATGCCTAATCCCACATTTCTATCACTTATAGTTTCTAAGATATCAGCTTTTCTACAAAAAGCTGCGT